CCAAACTCTAACATTGATCCTAAATCTAACATCAATACAAACTATAACATGAATTCAAATTCTAATGCTAATTCTAACTCAAATGCTACTTATAAAAGCTAATCATAGCTTAACTGATTGTCCCAAATGATCAAAACACCTAAATAACACTAATTATGACTTTACAACACTAATCTTAACTAATACTAATCTAACTCTAACACTAATCCTAACACTAATCCTAACACTAATCCTAACCAACACTAGTCCTAACTAATGATAATCCTAATGCTAATCCTAACCAACACTAGTCCTAACTCTAACACTAATCCAAATGCTAATCCTAACTAACACTAGTCCTAACTAATGATAATCCTAATGCTAATTCTAACCAACACTAGTCCTAACTCTAACACTTATCCAAATGCTAATCCTAACCAACACTAGTCCTAACTCTAGTCCTTATGCTAATCCTAACCAACACTAGTCCTAACTAATGATAATCCTAATGCTAATCCTAACCAACACTAGTCCTAACTCTAACACTAATCCAAATGCTAATCCTAACCAACACTAGTCCTAACTCTAACACTAATCCTGATGCTAATCGTAACCAACACTAATCCTAATGCTAATCCTAAATCAAATACTCCTGTGCTCATCTTAATAATCAATAATCCTAACACTAATCCTAACTAATAATAATCTGAACTCTAAAACCAATCCTAACTCTAACTCTAATTCAACTCAATAATTAAACTCTACTCATAAATTGAAAACTAATCCCTACTCTAATGCTAATCCTAACTCTAATGGTAATCCAAACACTAATGCTGACACCAATCATAACCCTACGACTAATTTTAATTCTAACACTAATCCTAACTCTAATACTAATCCTAACACTAATCCTAGCTGTGACACTAATCCTAACTCTAACTCTAATCCTAATGCTAATCCTAACTAACACTAATCCTAACTAACACTAATTCTAACTCTAATTCTAATGCTTATCCTAACTAACACTAATCCTAAATCCAACACTAGACCTAACTCTAACATTAATCTGACTCTAACCTTAACACTTTAACTACTAACTCTAAAGATAATCCTAACTAACTCTAATCTCCAACACCCCAGCCTAACGCTCATCCTAATTAACACTAAACCTAACCCCAGCACTAATCCTAACTCTAACACTAATCCCAGCTCTCTGCTCTGCTGGTAATCTGTTGTCCTGTTAGTCCAGCAGTGGCCCAATAACACCTCCGTCCCTCAGTGTCTCACTATGACGGCCACACCAAGCGACAGAGTACAGAAAGCAGCTTCTGTACGTTCTCCGGTCTCAGAGCTGTGAGGGGGCAGATGTTTGCTTTTGCCTTAGGGGACTAATTGTGAGTGTGTTGAGTTCAGATAAGGAAGCCGAGGGAGTTTCTGGTGAAATTTGAACAGGCCTGTGTTGTGGCTAATGCTAACTGTTAAGGTGTATGTGGCTCATATGGCTCAGGACCGCGTTTCACAGCGGACTGTGCAGCTGTTTTCAAATCAATCGATCAAGTTTTGGCATCCAGTCTGCTGAGTGAGAGCCGGAGCTGTGGATGTTAACTGGTCTGGAACTGGAGCTGTGGATGCTAACTGGTCTGGAACTGGAGCTGTGGATGTTAACTGGTCTGGAACTAGAGCTGTGGATGTTAATTGGTCTAGAACTGGAGCTGTGGAGGCTAACTGGTCTGGAACTGGAGCTGTGGAGGCTAACTGTGGTCTAGAACTGGAGCTGTGGAGGCTAACTGGTCTGGAACTGGAGCTGTGGAGGCTAACTGGTCTGGAACTGGAGCTGTGGAGGCTAACTGTGGTCTAGAACTGGAGCTGTGGAGGCTAACTGGTCTGGAACTGGAGCTGTGGAGGCTAACTGTGGTCTAGAACTGGAGCTGTGGAGGCTAACTGGTCTGGAACTGGAGCTGTGGAGGCTAACTGGTCTGGAACTGGAGCTGTGGAGGTTAACTGGCCTGGAACTGGAGCTGTGGATGTTAGTTTCATGTATAGGACTGGAAGTTAAACCAGCGTCATGTTTGGCTCTGAAAGTAAAACCAAAGCACACAGTATTTAGCGCTATCTTATCTAAGCAAAAGACATTAGCAGTTCGCCTTTTCTTGGCTGGTTCTTGTTTTCTTTGTGCTATCTGTGTGGTTTCCTTTGGTTTTCCCAACACGATGGTGGCGTGTAAACATTTAGTAGCTACTAAGCTCAAAATAAGAGCTCGTTTGTGTGCCTAAAATAAGAGCTTGTTTGTGTGGACACATGTAATATTTCTCATAAAAGCTCTTGTTATAACTACCCAATGTTTGAACTTGCATACAGCTGGTGCAACCAACACCAAGACAACACACCTGGGAACATGTTGAAACATTAAGAATCAAATAAAGTTCTTTTGCTTTTATGTCTGAATTCTGAAATAAAGCGACACAGAGCCCGAACTACAACAATGACCGTCACATCAATAGTTTAGCGACCTTCTCCCTGAAAGTGAAGATCAAAGTCAGATGAAAAGCTCTCAGTCTCTTTTGTCCGTGTTAGTGTGTGTGACACGGTTACGGCGAGTGAAAGAAAAGAAGCGCATCACTTTAACACACTTTAAAGGAGCGGTAAATTGATCCTCTCCACACACACACACACACACACACACACACACACACACACACACACACACAGAGAAACACAAAACCTGCTGATTCATCCTCTCACACACACATACACACACATGCTAAAACACCAACATGCTATTTCACCCCAAACACCCTAACATCGCAACACACAACTCACTAACATGGTTATCACACTAACACGTCAATAACATACTAACCCGCTAGCACTACAACATGCTAACAAAACTCACTAACACCACAACACAGTGATAAAATACACTTACAATATGCTAACATAAGACGCTAACACTGCAACATGCCAACATGCTGGTCTAAGCTGGTCCATGCTGGTTTAGCTGGTCACCCAGGATGGTCATGCTGGTTGACCAGCACACCAGCATGCAAAAAACAATATTTTGGTTTTGCTGTTGGCCAGCGATGCTGGTCTATGTTAGTTTTTCTGGAAGGGACAACATGCTAACACACCAACACGCTGGCAAACAAAGCAGCAATATGCTAACACAGCAATATGCTAACACAGCTACATGCTAACACATCAGTTGGCCCACTGATGGCATGCTCCACAGCTAATCCTAAAAGGTGGTTGGCTTTTTTCTCAGTTCTTTTGCTAATTAATTTAATGAGTAATTTTAATTTAGCACAGCGTCAGCAACAACACTTTCAACAAAATTGTTTTGTATCAGGCCTAGTCATTAATTTTTACCAATTGTTTGTAATAATTGTCTTCGTTTTCTCTCCAAAATAAAAGCTGTATGCATTTAAAGTCTGTTTGAGGAGATTAAAAACTAGTTAGACCTTCTACACAGGACAGTAAACCGGGTGGTCTGAGGGTGGACCAGCAGTGGCACACAGTCAGCAGGGTACCAACCTTATCAAGCCAGTGGACCAATATAAGCTCGCGATCAGTGAACATGCTAAAATGTTAACAGACCAACATGCTAAGACGCTAACATACCAAAATTCTACAACGCTAAGACACAAACATGCTAACACAGCTGATCCAACATTGGTTGGAATCCTAACCAACTCACACGCATCACACTGACACGCTAACTAGAGCACAAAGATGAGTTGTTTTCACATTGAAATCTAAATTTAAAAGAGCACAACTTTCTAACTGTAAAAGCTGCCATTTTAATTATAACCTGCAAGTTTGAAGTGGTAAATTTTTAACCCAATAAACTTTAAAAACTTGTGAACTGCCTGTAGATGAATTAGACCAATCAGAAGAAACTAAGCACCCACATGATCTTGATGACAACTGCAACTAACAGGCAATCGGTTCAGCTCTCAATTGGTGTGTTCCAATCGGGAGCATTTGCTGCTCTCCCGAGACGAAGGCTGTCCCATTCGGAAGGTCAGCTGCCTTCTAAGGTGCTTTGACCAATTCTGAAGGCAGCATCGCATGTATCCTTCTCAGCGAAGGCAAACCCACAATACTGTTCAAATGCTCACTGGCCGAGAGCTCCATCGCTCGACGAAGCGGCCGTTTTTGCTGACTGAGGAGTCGACAAATGTTATTTATTGACTTCTGACTTTTCTGTTTCGATTGTTCTATTTGTGTAAAGTATTTAACAGATTTGTGTTTAGATCTCTAGACATTGTTCCTGTGGTAACATTTTGGTGGTTCGCTTGTCTAACGTGACCTGACAGGCAGCGTTTGTAACTCGTTAGGTGAAGCTAACGTTAGCTAGCTTAGCTAGCGGGCTAACTGTGTAAACACGCTGGCTCTTTAAAACAAAATTATACATAGTTTTTTATCTGTTGTGTGTTAGAAATAAAGCAGGTTCATTAAGGTGGATGAGGACAGCGAATGAATTGAAATGATTCACAGACTAATAGTAAAGATTATCAGTATTTATCTGGGGTGGAGTATATTATGACAGATACGACTCCTTAAAGCTGCCTGTTCTTCATATACAGACGTCCACAACAGTGTCAACGCAGGAAAACAGCTGCTGCAGATTCAGAGCCGTCCTTTTACACTGAGGTGATGCACCTTTACAGTCGGAGGTGAGTGTAAATTAACCAGTGACTGCGAGTGAACAGATGTACGAGTACTGCGCAGTGAAACTTATGACGTATGATGGCTCTGAAGCACCGTCCTGAATGTGCTGCCTACTAAGGTTCCTTTTCGGTTAAAATGCTGCCCAACTAGAGAGCAGGCCAGAACGGAACACACTAAATATTTTGGATTCTTGGCCCAAAAATCAGGACTGGACTGAATTATTTTAGAAATGATTTTCTAAACCCTAATGCTAACACAGTGCGCTAACACATTAACACACTAAACCAGCACAGTGCGATTAAGCCCACCACACAGTTCAGCACCGCAGCGCGGTCAGATCCCTCTCTCACCTGCCGGCCCACCCTGTTGTTGTGGAGCCTCATCCTGGCGTGGATGTCCCTGTAGGTTTCTCTGGAGTCCAGGAACTCTTTGGAGAACCGTTCACCGAACTCCACGTTGGGGCTGCAGCCGCCCCACTCCCACGAGTCCTGCGGTCCCAGCGTGTCCGAGGGGAAGTGCTCCATCACGCCGTGCACCATGCCCTTTCCCCGGTTGATGGCCTCCAGCTGCAGGCGGTTCAGTTTGACCCGAAACGCCTCCTCGTCCCCCCGACGCTTCTCATCACAGCCGCACGCCTTCAGCTTCCCCATCGAACACGCGTTAGACACGGCGTGGACCACACCGGCCGCCGCGATGGCGTACGCAAACGCGCTCTCTCTGAACCCTGCACACACACACACACACACACACACACACACACTCTATTAACATAACACTCTATTCATACAACACTGTATTAATACAACACTATATTCATACAACACTATATTAATATAATACACTATTAATATAATACACTATTAATACAACACTGTATTAATATAACACTGAATACTTTATTAATACAATGCTTTATTAACACAACACTATCAATACAATACTCTATTAATACAATACTCTATCAGATAGATAGATGGATGGATAGACAGACAGATAGACAGACGGAAGTGACGGAGAGAGAGGAACCTACAAAGTCAGAACGGTTCAGTTAGACAACTGAATAACTGTTGTTATAATAATTGAGTTTAGGAATAATCGTTATTTGCAGCTTTACTAGGAGAGACTCCGACTCAGGGCCTCAGATTTAAAACCCACTCGTCTCCCCCCACTGTGGTGGGCTGATCACTATCAGGCTCAACACAAGGGAAACCACAAAAACCGTGACGCTCGCACGACACTGACAGGAGCACCAGTATAGAGAGAGAGAGAGAGGGACAGACAAAGAGAGAGAGAGAGAGAGACAGATGGAGAGGGAGAGAGAGGGACAGAGAGAGAGGGAGAGAGAGAGAGAGAGAGAGAGAGAGAGAGAGAGAGAGAGAGAGGACAAAAGAAATCAGGGAAGATCACAGTGGAGAAGATGAGATAGAAGAGGCGTCATCCAGAATCTCTTCAGTAACAGCCAGAACTCCTGAGAGGCTCTTCACTCCTGAAACGTGGGAGTAATTAACCTGCTACTGCGGGCAGCCGTTTGATCTCCAGCACTGTGTGTGTGTGTGTGTGTGTGTGTGTGTGTGTGTGTGTGTGTGTGTGTGTGTGTAAAACGCTTTAACTGTGTTCATCAGACCTTCAGCCTTGAGTCAGACTTTATAGCTTTACAACTTCATTCAAGAAATTCCTCACAAAATTGCTCAGCACACACTGGAGATACATGAGTAAAGCCATTAAAGCGATAGTTGCAAATATCTAAGATCAACCTTGATTGCTTAGTTTACAGTCAAACAGCCAGTAAAACAAGTTATTTATTTTTTGTGAGATGTTTTTAAGGAGAATTGAGGAGTTTCCAAAAGTCCAAAAAGGATTAAACGCTACAGAGAAGATGTGACTCCCAACAACCACCTGGAAGACCAGGTAGACCCCAAAACTGCCCCCGTCAGATAAACAGCACTTAAAGCTTTCATCTCTGAGAGAGAGGAGAAAATCAAGCTGCTTCAGATCTGAAAACATCCACAGGTGTTTCTGTCCATCCTTCCACTGTGAGAAGACGACTCAGCGCTGTGGGTCTGAAAGGATGTGTAGCTGTTCAAGAAGAACCTCACTGAGAAAAGGAGACACATCAAACAAAGAAGCTGAACGATGGACTGACCACCCCAGAGTCCAGACCTCAACACCACTGAATGTGTTTGATTACTTCAGAAAATGATCAACCAACTTCTTTTTGGCTGGATTTTACTGTTTTTTCCTCAATCTCAATTCCACCCACCAGCTGGGTCTCCCTCTATCACTCCGTGCTGCCAAGCTGGGGTGGTGAAGCTCCACCACTTTTCAAACCATCACCTACCAGTGATATTACTTCAGGCATCCATATTGGCTGGCATCATGCTAAGAAGGAGGACCATCCTACCTGCCCAAATTACGCTGTCTTGGACTCCCAACCACTAATGACTGTAGCATCACTAGGGACTGAACTCACAAGCTCCCAGTGGTGGGGCCAGCACTTAGATTTGAACCACTCAGGAGCCCAAACCAACTTCTAAGACTGAACTTTGGAGCTGTGGACAAACATCCCTGCCTGACATCACGCCAACAAAACAAGAAGAAGTGTGCATTTTAAGCTTTTTAGGCAGAACTTTGTTATTTGTTGTGTATAATGTGACTAAATGCAGGAGAAGAACTGGATAAGCTCAAGCTTGAGTTGTTCTGCACAGTATTTTTAGCCAAACTGTGCTTTCATGTTGTTTCCGGCGCTATATATTAATGGTGAATTTCCAAAGCCAACAAATAAATAAACTAACTAAACAACTTTTTAATTCCAGTATAAAAGCTTTTATATGCTTTCATCAGCCAAACAAGCACTAAATTGCCTTTTTTCCAAACTCAAACAGCCAAAGTTGGGTGAGCGCTTTGAGGCAGGAAGTAGGAAGAGTTTGAAAAGTGCCCTCTAGTAGTGAACGTAGCCGAAGCTTTCATTACTTCTTAGCTACTTGTTTGATTTTTTTTTGCCAAACTATTCCTTTAACAGTGGTGACTTATAGCGCGCATAGAATGCCTGACTGTTTTTTGTTGGTTTCTAAGACGGAGACGGTTCCTCTCCGCAGGTGACCGCAGCTCACTCAGCTAATGGTCCCGAACAATAATAAATGGAGGGCTCATAAAGCCTCCCCCCTAAATCACTTTCAAGGGCGGATGGAGAATTAAAGAAGGACATGAAAGAGCCACTTACAGCTAAATAGTTTACAGTTCTTTGGGCCTGCTGGAATCAAAGGAGATTACTTTAACGAGAAAGGGTCCTCGAATGTACGTGCTTAATGCTGAGTTTTGAACTTGAAATCAGAAACACTCAATCAAGCTGGTAAAAAGTAAAAAGATGTGTTTAAGGGGCAAAAGAGCGAGCCTGTTATTTCTGAACGCTGTTCGTTTGGAAAGTATTAAACTGCTGGCAATATACAACCCCATTTCCAGAAACGTTGGGATGCTATGCAGAATGTAAATAAAAATAGGATGCAATAATATGCAAATCATGTAAACCATATTTTTAAAGGAAAATACTACAAAGACATCATATCAAATGTTGAAACTGAGAAATCTTTATTGATTTTTGAAAAATATTTGCCCATTTTGAATTTGATGCTAACAATACGTTCCAAGAAAGTTGGGACGGGGGCCTGTTTACCACTGAGTTTCATCACCTCTTCTTTTAACAACACTCTGTAAGTGTTTGGGAACTGAGGAGACACTGCTGTAGTTTTGAAAGTGAAATGTTTTCCCTTTCTTGTTTGATACAGGATTTCAGCTGCTCAACAGTTCAGGGTCTCCTTTGTTGTATTTTTCATTTCATAATGAGCCAGATGTTTTCTGTGGTGACAGATCTGGACTGCACACCGGTCAGTTTAGTGCCTGGACTCTTTTACTACGGATCCATGCTGTTGTAATACATGCAGAATGTGGTTTTACATTGTCTTGCTGAAATAATTAAGGCCTTCCCTGAAAAAGACGTCCTCTGGATGGCAGCATATGTTGACAAAACTTGTATCTATTGTTCAGATGTGCATGTTACCCATACCTTGTGCACTAATGCCCCCCTATACCATCATGAATACTGGCTTTTCAACTGTGCACTGATACCACACTGAGTGCACTGAGTGGTCTTTAGCCCAGAGGACACAGCGTCCATGATTTCCAAAAAGAATTTCAAATGTTGATTCGTCACAGGACACTTATCCACTTCAGCTCAGTCCATTTTGAGCTCGGGCCCAGAGAAGGTGGCAGCATTTCTGGATTTATATTTGGTTTCTATATTGGTTTCTGAGTTTTATCTTGCATTTGTGGATGCAGTGATGAACTGTTTTCACAGACAGTGTTTTTTTTATTTAGTCTGTCCACCTTTTGCCTTTCATTCTTTTCAGGAGACTCGCTTTCAGTTTCTCAAAGAAATCTGCAGACACACCTCCAAAGTTCAGTCTTAGAAGTTGGTTGTACTTTCTGCTTCTCCCCAAGCAATCCCAATTACAGATTTACACACAACATTTTCCATACCTCACATGTCCAGTTTTGGAGTTCTGGTGCAAATGTTCTTCCTGAGGGCTTCTTAAAAGCTTGTTTGGAAGAAAAGCTTTTTATACTGGAATTAAAGCGTTGTTTAGTTCATTTAATTTAAAAGTGAATGTTGGCTTTGGAATTTCACTGTTAATATAGTGCCATAAAAGCACACAGTTTGGGAAAAAAGCAATTTAGTGCTTGTTTGGCTGCTGAAAGCATATAAAAGCTTAGTTTAGTTAGTTTATTTATTTGTTGGCTCTGGAAATTCACCATTAATATATAGTGCCGGAAATAACAGGAAAGCACAGTTTGGCTAAAAATACTGCGCAGAACAACTCAAGCTTGAGCTTATCCAGTTATCCCTCTTCATTCAGTCAAATTATACACATAATAGCTCAAAGCTCTGCCTAAAAAGCTTAAAATACACTATTTCTTCTCGTTCTGTTGCAGCTGCTGTGTTGACATGATGTCAGGTAGGGATATTTGTCCACAGCTCCAAAGTTCAGTCTTAAAAGTTGGTTTGGATGGGCTCCTGAATGGTACAATGGTACAATGGTACAAGTGTTGGCTCCACCATTGGGAGCTTGTGAGTTTAGTCCTCAGTGATGTTAGTCATTAGAGGCTCGGAGTCCAAGACAGCATGATTCGGGCTAGTAGGATGGTCCTCCTTCTCAGCATAATTTCAGCAAACAAGGATGTCTGAAGTAATAGAATTGGCAGGTGATTTGAACAGTGGTGGAGCTTCATCCTCCCAGTTTGGCAACTTCGAGTGATAGAAGGAGACCCAGCTAGTGGGTGGAATTGAAACTGAGAAGAATAAAATCCAGCCAAAAAGAAGCTGGTTTAGCATTTTCTGCTTTTCATGGTCCAAATGATCTGGACTCTGGATTCAGTGAGGTTCTTCTTGATCAGCTACACATCCTTTCAGACCCACAGCGCTGAGTCGTCTTCTCACAGTGGAAGGATGGACAGAAACACCTGTGGATGTTTTCAGATCTGAAGCAGCTTGATTTTCTCCTCTCTCTCAGAGATGAGAGCTTTAAGTGCTGTTTATCTGATGGGGGCAGTTTTGGTGCCTACCAGGTCTTCCAGGTGGGTGTTAGGAGTCTCATTTTCTTTGTAACCGTCTGCTTTTTTATACTAATTTTCCTCTGATTTTGTCCTTTCCTTTTACAAGTGGATTATCTT